AACACAAAAGATGACACCAAACATGGCAAGCATGACTGAAACAGATGGCCAGCAGGCCTTAAACATGGTAAAGTAATGCCAATACCTTCATGAAATTAGGCTAATACATGCAAGAATCATGACCTAAACACAAAATACATTTCTAGGCCAAATAGAGGAATGTAAAGCAAGTATGTTAAGCATGCAAAAGGGCACAAATCCGACCAAGAATAGAGATAACATGTGACCTAGAGACACCCAAAAACCTCTGAAATAGGGCCAAAATCAATCGAGCATGCATGTTACCCTTTAAGCCAAAAGGCAAGGAAATGAGGCAATGAAGGGAGAGGGGTGTCCCTCCCCTATACAAGACTTTAAACCACCTTCCTCACCGCTAAAAATCCACTGGTTTTCCGTGGTGAGAAGACTAAGACACTCAAGCAAACAAGGCCTCACAAAGGAAGCACTAAAAAGGCCAAATAAGGCCTAAGAGGGTGAGTTTGAACTCGAACCACAAAACACCCTTAATGAAAGTTCTTAAGCATGAAAATATAAGCTTTTTTTTATGTTATGCACAAAGCCTAAATCAACAAGCAAGACAGGTAAAAAATTAGTGCAAGTTTGGGGAAACTAAAGCAAAGTGATTACCCTTGAAGAACACCTCAAGAACAGCCAATGCAGCCCTCTTCTTTTGATCAAAATCAGTCCAAAAAAAACCTCAAGAATCAACCCTCAAAGCCTCTCAATCTTGGAGCAAGGTGTAATGGTGTGTGTATTAGTGCAAAAGTAAGGTAAAAATGCACTTTTGGGCTACCAAACACACACTAAGGGAGGAGAGAGAGGGAAGTATAGAGAGAGATGATATATCTAACAGATATATGTATATGAGCTCTGGTTTTTAGGTTTAAAACTCCCAACCTTTTACAATAGAGGAGGAGGGCTCTATATATAGCCTAAGCAAATGGTTCTTGGCTTCTCCAAGAAGCCAAGTGAAAGGGGCAAAGGGTGCAAAGGAGTCTAGGCTTCTTGGAGAAGCTAAAACAGCTGGCCAACCTTCTCTAAGAAGCTTAGCCAAGGGTTCATCCTTCTAGAAGGAACCAAGGGGTTCAAAGGCTCACACCAGCCAAAAACTGCACGGGGAGGAGTGATGGTGCATTCCAGCTGGCACAGCTGGCATGCACCATGCCTCAAGGGTGCAAAGGAGTCACACCGGCCAGCAAAAGATGTCACCGGCAAAGAAAAGTGCCGATCGGCAAAATATAGTGCCGACCGGCCATTGATTTTAAGAGACCATGGCTGATGGCACCCCTAAACAACCGGTGATGCTAGGGGAAGGCCGGTGGAATGTGGGGATGGCCAACAAGCCATTCCCCTCCCTTCAAGGCAAAAACACAAGTGTTTGGTGCCAAAGCCAAACACGGAACAGTCAGGTCGAGAGATCCTGAGGCGAGGCGCGCAGCCAAGACTTCCGGGAACTCAAGACGAACACAAACATGGATAATCACCGAGTGTTCAAACGGTGACGTCCAAGTCTTAAGGACGGTCAAAAATGGGGTGTCTACAGCACCGGGCTCGGCGCATCATTCAAACTACATCTTATTTCAATACTTATTTGAATACGTATATCAAATTGTTGCATTCATATGCCATCTTAGATAGCCGAGCCTATTTAGTTGCATTATTGCATGTGTTGCATTAGGCATTTTACATAGTTTGGAGCATGCATATTTCTAACTAACTTTTGTTTTGGCTTGGAGTACACTGTAAATGTTACGCTTAGCATACTTGCATGAGTGTGAGTGTTGCCATGATAGCATGCTTGCCATGATAGCATGCTTGCCATGAGGCTATTTGCTTAAGTGCTAAACTGCTTGAATGCCTATGGGTGGAGGCTTGATTGCCTGAATTGGAACAACTCGATGATTATAAGTTTTAAGCCCACTTTGCGAAGTGGCAAAACCTTATTTTAAATCCCACTTGAGGGTAGCAAATCCGCGCTTTAGCCTACTTGCGAGTAGCACTTTCAAACCATTTTTAAAACCAAACGTGAGTTGTTTTGTTCCAATTCTCATGATTGAGTCTATACTTGTATGCTGTGTGCGTCACATAGTAAAGTTAGCTAATAACTGGATAAGAACATATGAGGTTTATAAAACAACATATCATGTTAGTAGAGGTCGATCCTTGATCGGGCGAGCGGGGGTGCTCATTGCATGACCTTCCCCTCTCGTATCTAAGTTCCCGAGCCGAGGCAACTTTGGTGATGATGGACACGTGGCTTTAGGCATGAGTCAGGGTTTCCTAAATTTCCCAAAAATAAAATATTTAGGTGGCGACTCTATAATCTTGCAAAGCATTCCATGTTTGGCGTTTTTTCATTCAAAATTGATTTTCCAAAACCAATTGCCAGATTTGGACTCTTTGGTGTTTATCGGTCTCACATTGCACTTTGTGAGATTAGATTCAGAACCGTGATAGGAGTCCAAACTGTAGTAAGAGACCAATTCGCGTCTCTCCGAAAGGGGGGCGGCCGAAGAAAGTCGAGTCTACAGCCCCGTTCTACTTTCCTACTGGAGATCTTCTCCCGAAGGGTTTCTATTTCAAGGTCACCCTTCTGTGCCTCCATCACTCGGTTCATAAGTGTAGGTTGGGCAACTACCGTAAACAAAGTCACGGATTCAATGGACTCGTTAAGATGCAAGTCAAACTCCCTAAGAGCACCCAATATTTACCACTCCCGGATGGCAATACAAGCTACGTTACTATCGGATTTTCTACTCAAGGCATCGGCCACTACATTGGCCTTCCCAAGATGATAATGCAACTCAAAATCATAGTCCTCTATGAACTCCATCCACCTTCTCTACCTTAATTTCAAATCTTTCTGAGTGAACATATACTTCAGACTCTTGTGATCAAAAAATACCTCGAATTTCTCACCATACAGATAGTGCCTCCAAATCTTCAAAGCAAATATCACTACTACTAACTCTAGATCATAGGTAGGGCAATTCCTCTCATGTGTTTTCAACTGCCGTGAGCCATAAACTACTACATTTCCATCTTGCATTAATACACAACCCAAACCTTCTCGTGAGGCATCATAATATATCAAATAGCCCAAACCCCTCTCCAGAATAATCAAGACTGGAGCAATGGTAAGTCTAACCTTAAGCTCTTGGAATGACTTCTTACAGGTCTCATTTCACACAAAGTTCACTCTCTTCCTCGTCAGTCTAGTTAACGGTGAATATAATCTAGAGAAGTCCTTCACAAATCTTCGATAATACCCGGTCAACCCCAGGAAACTACGGATCTCAAAAGCATTCTTAGGTTGTGCCCAATACTGCACTGCCTCTATCTTGGATGAATCTACAGTCACCCATTCCCCAGATACTACATGGCCTAAGAATTTAACCTCTTTCAGCCAGAACTCACACTTCCCAAATTTAGCATATAGCTTATGGGTTCTAAGCAACTCAAGCACTACTCGTAAGTGTTCCGCGTGTTCCTCCTCAAAGGGTGAATAAATCAAGATGTCATCCACAAAGATGACCACAAAGCGGTCTAGAAACCCACGGAAGATCTGATTCATCAAATCCATAAACACCGCTAGAGCATTAGTCAGTCCAAAAGGCATCACTAGGAACTCATAATGGCCATACCACATACGGAATGCCGTCTTCGGGATATTCTCCTCTTTTACCCTCAGCTGATGATAACCCGATCTCAGGTCTACCTTAGGGAAGCAACAAGACCCCTTTAACTGATCAAACAGATCATCTATACGAGGCATTGGATACTTGTTCTTAACAGTTACCTGGTTCAATTTCTGATAATCAATACAGAGTCGCAACACTCTATCTTTCTTCTTAGCAAAGAGAGCTAGTGCTCCCTAAGGTGAATTATTAGGGCGAATAAAACCCTTATCTAACAATTCCTGGAGTTGAACCTTCAACTCACTCAACTCAGTAGGTGCAAACCGATACGATGCCATAGAAATCGGTGTCATGCCATGCACTAAATCAATAGAGAACTTAATCTCTCGGTGAGGTGGTAAACTAGTAAGGTCATTGGGAAAGACATCAGGGTATTCACAAACCACCCTTGGCAACTTAACTCGAACTTCATCACATTCACTATTCAAAAAGCTAGCAAGAAGACAACTAAGTTTACTCCACCCACGCAGATTGTACACCGGTGATAAGACTCTATCTATTCGATCCCCCAAGAAATAAAAGCAATCACCGCTCAAGGTACATACAGTAACCCTCTAACAGTAACAATTTATAACAGCCCAATATGACGATAACCAATCCATACCCAAAATAACATCAAAACTAGTCATATCAAGCAATACTAATACAAAAGGCAATCGACGACCGGCAACCTCGATGTCACAACCCCAACATCTCTGCTTCAAGATGGCCTCACCACCAACAAGTGACTCTACACAAATAGGAGATGTTAATTGTGCCAACTCCAACCCCAAAACCGATGCAAATGCAAACGAGATAAAAGAATGGCATGTATCCATATCAATCAACACATTAGCAACTGAATTGAAAAACAAGAAGGTACATTTCACTACAGAAGGCGCTAGTACAAGATCTGGCATGGTAACAGCATACACACGCCCAGTAGGCCTCTACTCAACCTGCTCACCCCTTGGAGCATAAGCCTGATGCACTGATTGAGCCGAAGAGGCTCCTTGATTGGTCCTCAAGGCCTGTATTAACTGTGGAGAGTGGTGACTCTGTGTCTGCCTTGAACCAGACGCACCAAATATGCCACTCAACTGTGGACAAAATCTCTTCAGGTGCCCTACCTACCCACACTGATAACAAGTGGGCGGTTGCCCTCTACTCTAATTCTGGCACTAAGAACAAGCCAAAGACGATACAGACCGTTGCCCTCCTTCCCTCTGCAGGTAAGCTGGAGACTTGTGGCCCAACTGACCACATTTGTAACAAGTAAAATCCCCCTGACCAGAACCCGAACTCGATACTGGAAAGGTGGACCTCAACTGAGCTCCCTGGGACGACTGAGGGTTAGAACCCCTCTGCCTCTTCCCGTCCCCCTGACTATCCTGACTCCTCTTGGAGCCCCTCATCCTCTTCTTCTCTGCTTGCATATTGTTCTCAAGATGGGTTGCCGCCTCCACCAGGCACCTATAGTCTCTAATCATGGATCTAGCCACTCTAAACATGAGCTCGATCCTCAACTTCTTCTCGAATTCCAAACAATGGCGCTCATCAATCGCCACAAGTTCCGGTGCAAACCTCAACAAACTGGTGAATGTGGCCTCAAACTCAGCCACTGGTGCACCAACTTAGAGAACTGGTCCCTCAACTTCTCCCTAACAGTGGGAGGAAAAAACTTGTCCTGGAAGGCGTCGACAAAGGCCTCCTAAGACCCTCTAATGCGCCATCACGCATACTTCCACCATTGACCCGCGTCTCCCTTTAGCTGGAAAGACGCCAAGGTTGCTCTCAAACCCTCGTTTTCGATGCCGAGCATCTCAAAAGTTTTCACCATCTGCTCTAACCACTCATCCGCTTTCAGTGGTTCCTTAGGATCGCCCAAAAACTCATCCGGGTTTGACCGAAAAAGCTCCCTCTTCAGAAAAGATGGCCCTGCCTCAGCAACCTGGGCCTGGACTTGATTCTCAGCTCTGAGAATGTCCATATATTCCCGCAAAGCTCCGGGCATTTCATGGGCTAAGGCGCTCATGGCCTGTTGACCTACTCGCTCGACCACATTGGCCTAACCAGCCCCTTCTTCCTGTGCCGAAATTTCATCTGGTATAGGCATCTCACACCTCCTAGGCCTACCACACCTACTACCATGACCACGTCTTGGCATCCTAATAAAGGTAATAAAAAGATTAGCACATTCACAAATGTGCCGAAGCTAACTCACTCGCGTCCTAATACGATGGACAACAGTAAATCACTCTATATAGGCACGTAATCACATAAACACATACGAATTTCCTTCTTAGATAATGATCATCCTGCGGCGTTGCTAGAGTTCCAATTAGAAACAGCAATGATCAAGTGTTCTAATAGGACTTCCAGAAACCCGTAGACCCAATCAATATCTTAGGAACTAAATCGCTTGCCCATATAATCATTCAAGCATGTTATCACACAACGTTACTAGTATGCAAGCATCTCTATAAAGCGAGACAAACCCATTGTGGTACTAACCACTTCCCACGTCCCTAAAGTATTTAAACCCGATACGCTCTGATACCAAGTTGTAACGCCCCCAAAATATAACCATAAGTTCAACCCAAATATATATATGAATAACTGCATGAATCAGAATGTAAAGTTCTTTCATTTCATAATATTAATAGTACAAAAGAGTTTAGCATAATCTTTCCAAGTCTTGGCTTGGTTACAACAAAAGTGTGACTAACTCATACAATTTAAGCCCTAGGCTATACAAAAATGAAACAAGACAAAAAAGCTCTTGCTTCCCAAAAGTCCCTCTAATGCCATCATTTCCTGAAAATGTTCTTCCTAAATAGGTGTAGACACCCCATTTTTGACCGACCTTAAGACTCAGACGTCACCAGTTGAGCACTCGGTGATTTTTCATATCGTGCTCGTTCAGAAGTTGCAGAGTCCTGGCTGCGAGCCCTGCCTCCGGACTTCCGAACCCTCTTCTGTACCTTGCCTCGGTTTGCGAACCAGACTCGATTTTCTCTGTTTCTTTTCCTGAGGGGAGGAAGAGGTCCTGTAGACCATCTCTTAGTGGCCGTGGGCTACATTTTGTGGCCGCGGGCCATTTTGCCCATTTCGGAGTCCGGTTCCCGGTTTTCGGAGCCGTCAGGCCGTGTGCCTCGGTTCGGGACCGCCTAACCATCTCCTATTGCTCCAATTTTTGGTATACTTCTTATTTGCTCCCTTTTGAGGGACACTGAGGTCTGAGAGACCTACTTCGTGGTTGAACACCACTCCCGGTGCCTAACAGCCAGTTTTCGGGGCCTCGGGCTGCGCGTTTTGGCCCCCAAACCTTCATTTTGCATCGATTTGGGCTCATTTTTGGTGGAGACCTTATTTTCACTGTTAGAAAGCTTGTAGGAGGGTGGAAGGCCAGTAATTTTTCTGAAAAGCCAACTTCTTTTTGGTCAAAAGTGGTTCAGCATGAATCCGGGAAGGAGAAAAATCTGCGCGGCTTCACCGAAATGGGCGTAACTCTTTTCACAAGAGGAATTAAGATATGAGGCCACCACCATTGGAACGATTACTTCCAGGGCTTCATTTTGCACTCAAGAATATCCCAAGTCCAAGTCCGGGGGGGAGAGATGTGGTTGGTTGAAGTCCGCTTGGACCGAATCTGCGCGGCTTCACGGAAAAGGGCATAACTTTTTCTACAGAAGGAATTTTAATGCAAGGTTTGTGCCATTGGAAAGATAACTTCTGGGGCTTCATCCTAGGGGGTGGCCGGCCACTTTTTCTGGCCAGCCGGCCACTTTTTTCCTTTGACCTAGCCGGCCGGCTAGGGGAAGTGGCCGGCCGGCCACCTGCAGCCAAAATGTCAGGCCAACCTGCTTCTTCAGGTTGAGTACATTCCAGCTGTGCCTTGGTTTTCCCCCAAAAATATCTACATCCGGGGGACCCTTTTGGAGGGAAAAAAGGCCTCATTTTCCCTCCACTTTGGCTAGACTCTTCTCTCCATCTCTTATCCATATAGAGAGCCTCCCAACTCTAGAGAAAGGGTTACAAGAGTTGCTTGGAGGAGATAGATACATATCACCCCATTTCCTTCAAGTTTTGGCTCCATTTCTTCATCATCTTCAAGCTCTACCATCACCACTCCATTCCAGCAGCAAAGGAGGGGATTCCAGCAGCTTAGAGTCACCAAATCTGGTCCAAGAAGCAACAAAAGTGTTGGTCTTCAAAGGTAAGTCCAATTGCCCTCTTTTCTAGCTCATTTTGGCACCATCTTTAAGCCATACATGCTTGCTGAGTTGAGCTCCGACCAAAACTGGAAGTGGCCTTCTTTTAAGCTCATTTTCTTGTTTCATTAAGGGCTCAACCCTGTTTGAGGCCCCCATCTTGCACTTGCTTCATTATCCTTCTAAAGTGTCATTTTCCTGCATGATATTTTTAGCTGGTGTGTGCAAACAATGCCAAACTGGACTGCTTTGCCAGATTACAGAGTCGTCACCTAAATATTTTGTTTTTGGGAAATTTAGGAAACCCTGACTCATGCCAAAGGCCA